GGAGGTGTTCTTTACTTGACTAGCTTGGAACAAACAGCAGCAATAGTGCCATTTAAAGACTCAGACAGACACAAGGAATCTGACCTCACTAACAGGCTCTCCTTGTTTCTGTGTATATGTCCCCCTCCTTTGTGCTGGTGGTTTTCCCCAGAATGATGGCCCAATCTGTCCTGCTGCTGACAGCATTCCCAAAGACCCCAGAGTGCCCATGTCACCCCTAAAATCCCAGGAATACTTCCCCCTTAGTGTTCTTTGTTGCTGTTTTAAGTTTCAAAAGATTTAGGGTATAGGGAGGCTAAGGAGAGGTTGCCTCCCCTCCAGGCATCTTCCACCAAAGCAAGAAGTCTTTGCAGAGCCTTTGCACAGGCTCTCCTCTCAGTCTGGGAGCATTTCTCCTTCCTTTGTGACCAAAGCTTGTTTCTTAAGCCATTAAAACCTCTTTTACTAAAGTGACATCTGGGCAGTATGCACCACTAAAAACACGCCTTTATAAATTTTATTGTACTTATATAGAGAGACCTATTTTTTGGAGTATTGCATACTATTTAAGTGCCTGTGCATGTATTCACCTTAAGCATTAAACATCCAGCATGGCATTGTGGTTGGAAGAATGGGCTCTGGAGCAGACAAAGTGAATTGGAATCCTGGCCCTGCTACTTAATAGCCATGTATGCGATTCAAATTATTTATCCTTTCAGAACCTCAGTCTTCTCATCTGTAAAGAATACTAAGACCTACTTCATGTGTTTATTTAGGGATGATTTAAATTAAATATGTAGAATGCTTAGCCCAGACCATAGCAGAAACTCAATAGATGGTAGCATCCATTGTTATATACATCACAACTTGTCTTCACACTCTGAAAACTTTTAAGTTGGGAAAGCCTTTCTGAAATGACATCTCTGGCAGAAGTGTAATATAGAAAATGTGAAAAAGTGGCATTGTTCTGCTGAAAGAGCAATTGGGGTCCGAGCTCTGCCTACCCACTTGTCTGCTCGTCCTCTCTGCCGTATCCCCACCCTCCTCACTCACGACAGGAAAAAAGCCAAACAAATACACATATATGTGTACAGTTATACATATGCAGAATTTCTTAAGTTTCCAGCTCAACAAAGATGAGCAGTGAGTTTTTTCATCATTTAACTCAGACCCATAACAATATTTTTCTACATCCTACTAAGTCTTCCAGAGGATTTTTCTGTTTCTCAGTTCTGTGTTCCCTTTCTGAGATGAACTCCTTCAAGCTCAGGGAACACATCCCTAAACTCTCTAAATAGCATCTCCGGATCTTGTATAATAAAGCTGCCATTTTTAGGTAAGCAGGGAAATGTTGTATATATTTACATTTTGAATTAAAGGTGTCCTCATTTCCAGTGAATCACTAATTTTGAATTGATGTGGTTAATTAATGCATGCAGCACATTTGAATAACCTGTTAGGAAGGGTGGAAAATGGTGACCCAGTTTTTGTTCAGGATGAGAGGGGCCTTCTCCACAAAGACTTAAAAATTCGCGCGTGGCCGGAGGGTGGAAATTAGGGGAACTGAAATGCTCCTTTACTTTACCTCGCTGTTCCTTCCAAGGTAGCTAGGTTAGCCCAAGACCATATTCATAAATTATATCTAGAATAGGAAGGGTTCAGGAGCAAACTATAATCAGACAGAGACACAAAACCAAGGCCTACGATTTGAACACAAGAAGGTCCGTTAGCTTTTGAAGCAGCATCTTGAACACAGGGTGCCAAACAGATATATTTCAATGACGACAATTTTGATAAATAAATTTTCCTTAGAAAACCTCCCCCTTCCTGAAGACATAAAAAAAGAAAATAGTGTTTTGCCTACTGGTAATTTATTTTAGAGCCACTTTGTTTTAAATTTCACTGAACAGTTATAGAACACATATTACATACAAATACACTTATATCACTGGCAAATAAAATTTGACTTCCCATTTATTTTTATATAAGAATATGGGTTTTTNTTTGTTATATCCCACAACAAAAAATTATCCAGCCCAAAATGTCAGCAGTGACAAAGTTGAGAAATAATGCCTCCTTCAATGTAATAAATATTTTTCCTTGAAGTCTTATAGTTTTAACTCTTACATTTAACTCTTTGATCCATTTTGAATTAATTTTTGTGTATGGTGTGAGGTAAAGATCAGGTTTCATTTTTTTAAATCTGAATATCCATTTTCTAGCACCATTTGTTGAAAAGACTGTCCTTTTCTTATTTAAATATGTTGGCAATATTTCTGTCAAATATCAACTGATCACACATACGTGGGTCTATGCATATATCTAGATTCTCTATTCCATTCCGTTTATCTAAATATCTATTCTTACATCAATAACACATGCTCTTGATTACATTCAAATAATAAACCATTTCATGTGTTCATAAGACTCTTACAACAGTGTAAGTCCATTAACCTGCCCCCATCACTTATACTATTTTTGTTATGCTTTTAATGTCTGCGTATATTAACCTAATATCTTGTTAATCTTTTTGCTGTAAACAGTTAAAAATACATTTGACAGATTTAATAGATTAAACTTTTTTTATATGAACCCACCTATTTACCATTATTGGACTCTTCATTACTTTGTATAGGTCCATGTTTCCACCCGGCATAATTTTCCTTCAGCTTTTAATATTTTTATAGCGCAGGTCTTCTGGTAAGAAATTCTGTCATATTTTGTTTGTCTGTAAAACTCTTAATTCCACCTCACTTTTGGAAGATAATTCCCCTGGATTGAAGAAGAAGTTCCTTCCTTCATGTTTAATTTTATATTCAATTAGCAGGAAGCTGGCCCCATAGCAGAAGCACACATTATCCACTGTCCTTATGAAGTTAGAGATTGGTAGGAATAACAATATATTAGTACAGCTTCAAATTGGGTTTGCTTTTTGAAAGGACATCACATTTTTGATCCATGGTGAATTCACTTTGGGCTAAAACTCCTCAGATTTTTTTATTTTGAGGTGAGTGAATGCTAAGCCACATTTCCCACAAATTCCCTTGGATTTATTTAGATGTGTGGGGTTCTTTTTGGAGAGTGCAGGTGTGCCTGAGTGCTAAATTTTCATTGACTGCTGTTAAATTTCATCTTATATTTGGCCTATTGCTTCTGTTTCTACAATAATAATAGTGTTTAGATACTGTGGTAGCAGAATTCTTTTTTCCAAATTAAATCTTAGGAGGAGGCCAACTTTAATACAAAGTTGTATTAAAGGGACAGGGAAATACCAGCGTCCTATGGGAGTGGAACATGCAGAGGATAGGATCTGCCATACCTCTTAGGCACTTTTACAGACTCTTAGGGTTCCTCGGAACACACTTAGAGAACCACTGGTTTAAGTGTTGTGAATTGCTCTCATTAGCATTTTCAGATATGGTGAGAACATTTTCTGAATTTTTACCCAAATCACTGAAAATCATTCTCCCACTAAGACTTTGTCCTGGTTGTTTATAGTGATACTTTGCAAGAGGATGTACATCCCCACAATGTGTATTTATTGTGTTCAGAAAACATCTGACTGCTTCCTTACAGGTTGAAAAGTGTAAAGTGATGGCCTCTAAGAAAAAGCCCCTGTGGCTTGAGTTTAAATGTGCTGACCCTACAGCTCTATCAAATGAAACGATTGGAATTATCTTTAAACATGGTGATGATCTGCGCCAAGATATGCTTATTTTGCAGGTATACTACTGTTAAGGAATCTTTTTAAATTATCTGAAAAAATACTTCTATATTAGAGCTAAAAAGTGCCTTCTAATGACTCTATTCCCATTCTCCTACCTTGTATGATGAACAGTGATCAAAGATTACATAAAAGAGAGATTTCACTGGGAAATATGGCCGTGGGCCATTAGCCACACAATCCTGTGAGCATCCCAGTTTGTCCATTCCTGAGAAGATGCATATCCAGCATTCCCAAACAGCCAGATATACTTCCCTCACCTAACCTCTTTTTATGTACCCCATTTCTGGTATGGTAACAAAGAATATAAACGTATTTATCCCCTAGCATCTGTTTCATTCATATTCATAGACATAGCTACACACCCACAGGTGCTGTCTCCTTAGATAGATCACCTTTGATATACACCCACATATACAAACTCAAGTGAGTGATTTGCTAGGAAGGAGAGAGAAAAGGAATAGATAGGTGATTGGAGAAATCATGCAGTTAAATAATAAGAGTGAACAGGTTACTAGACCAGAAGGTGAATGGTGAAGGTATCAGTGTTAATCAACTTTATATTTTCTAACATTTCTGGATAAACTTTAGTTTTACAAATCCATAAGTAATATTCTCTATATTCTAGTTGTTCAACACTGTAGAGGTAACATAATTTCTAATATTTAATATGACTTATTTAAAATAGGCAAACCACAATGATTTAAATGTAGAGTATTTAAAAACTGGTTATGTTTTCAATTCCCTCTATGTTTCTGTTTTTCCTTATTTCTAATATGGAAACAATAATACCCTTTGCTCTCTTTTCAAGAATGGTATGTATATTGTCCTGGAAATAGTTTTTTACTAAAAAAAATAATAAGTCCTTCAAATCTTTGAAAGTTTATTAAATTTCCAATACATCTGTAGATTCTTTTGAATTATTCAAAGATGGGCACTTCAAAAACACAAAACATCACTCTTTCCCTCTCATTTTGAGGGACAGTTTGCACTTGACCTTTAAGTACTTTGTTTTGATGTTAAGGCACTTTGCTTGTCAGATATGGGCAAGTTATTGAAGCTTGTTAGGCCTTAGTCTCTTCACCTGCAGAATGGGAATAATCATCATATCTACACTATAGGATTAATGCAAAGGATCGACATAAAACAGCATTCAGGGGAGGTTGATGAAGGTAAATGGAGTCAAACACATGGTGGTGGAACGAGAACTGACTCTGGGTGGTGAACTCTAACTGAATTCCATTTAATATGGTCTTCAAATGTCTGTTCCCCAAATCAGATGGCAGTTTGAAGTTTCACATGTTGGAAAGAAATTCAGTTCCTTAGCATTATCAGTTCCTTAGCATTATCCTTAAAACATCCTTCTCTACCTGATTATCTTGGTATCACATATATATTCCCCTATTTCTATCTCCTGCTATAGTATGTGTGTTTAGGATTGTATTGCTGACAGTAGGCCTCACCGATCTTGCCACCTCCAATGGTTAGATCCTCAAAGACAGACACATGCCTTTCTCCTACTCCACGCCAGCCCAGATGTGTACAATGTTGTGAATAGCGGTGGTCTCAGGAAATGTTATAGATAATATTGGTAAAACTTCTTGAACTCACATAACTATTATGTGCTTCTGACAATTACAGTTATTTCACAACTTAAGCAAAAGCTTGAAAACCTACAGAATTCAAGCCTCCCTGAGAGCTTTAGAGTTCCATATGATCCTGGATTGAAAGCAGGAACACTAGTGGTAGGTATCACCTTGTTGTGTCCCTGTGGTCTTTATGTCTTAAAGATACCATATTTCCCCATGTATAAGATGCACCCTTTTTCGAAAAATTAGGGGTCTAAAAACTGGGTGCGTCTTATACAGTGGTTGTATGAGCGCAAAACCAAGCACAAAAAAAGCGGAAATGCAAGTAAAAAAAAATCTACAACCACATTTTTGATCTTATAACTGGGAGAATGCTACTATCATCTAATGAGTAGAAGCCAGGAGTGCTGCTAAATATCCTACAATGCGCAGGATATTTTGTTATATCCCACAACAAAAAATTATCCAGCCCAAAATGTCAGCAGTGACAAAGTTGAGAAATAATGCCTCCTTCAATGTAATAAATATTTTTCCTTGAAGTCTTATAGTTTTAACTCTTACATTTAACTCTTTGATCCATTTTGAATTAATTTTTGTGTATGGTGTGAGGTAAAGATCAGGTTTCATTTTTTTAAATCTGAATATCCATTTTCTAGCACCATTTGTTGAAAAGACTGTCCTTTTCTTATTTAAATATGTTGGCAATATTTCTGTCAAATATCAACTGATCACACATACGTGGGTCTATGCATATATCTAGATTCTCTATTCCATTCCGTTTATCTAAATATCTATTCTTACATCAATAACACATGCTCTTGATTACATTCAAATAATAAACCATTTCATGTGTACATAAGACTCTTACAACAGTGTAAGTCCATTAACCTGCCCCCATCACTTATACTATTTTTGTTATGCTTTTAATGTCTGCGTATATTAACCTAATATCTTGTTAATCTTTTTGCTGTAAACAGTTCAAAATACATTTGACAGATTTAATAGATTAAACTTTTTTTATATGAACCCACCTATTTACCATTATTGGACTCTTCATTACTTTGTATAGGTCCATGTTTCCACCCGGCATAATTTTCCTTCAGCTTTTAATATTTTTATAGCGCAGGTCTTCTGGCAAGAAATTCTGTGATATTTTGTTTGTCTGTAAAACTCTTAATTCCACCTCACTTTTGGAAGATAATTCCCCTGGATTGAAGAAGAAGTTCCTTCCTTCATGTTTAATTTTATATTCAATTAGCAGGAAGCTGGCCCCATAGCAGAAGCACACATTATCCACTGTCCTTATGAAGTTAGAGATTGGTAGGAATAACAATATATTAGTACAGCTTCAAATTGGGTTTGCTTTTTGAAAGGACATCACATTTTTGATCCATGGTGAATTCACTTTGGGCTAAAACTCCTCAGATTTTTTTATTTTGAGGTGAGTGAATGCTAAGCCACATTTCCCACAAATTCCCTTGGATTTATTTAGATGTGTGGGGTTCTTTTTGGAGAGTGCAGGCGTGCCTGAGTGCTAAATTTTCATTGACTGCTGTTAAATTTCATCTTATATTTGGCCTATTGCTTCTGTTTCTACAATAATAATAGTGTTTAGATACTGTGGTAGCAG